GGTTATATAGAACTTCCATATTCAGATATGTTTTTGTTTTCCATCTGCAAGTTGATTTTTAGAAAGTCACTTTAAGTTGAATTTTTTAAACTAATTTTTCTCATTCAGTTCAGTTCTGGTTTCAAGTATGTGAAATAGAACTATGTGGTTCTATATTCAGGTTATTTGATGTAACCAAGGGACAGACTTTTTTCTGCCTTTTCATTATATCGCATTTGCTTAATAGGTTGATGTTCTGCTTAAATAATAATTATTACCCATCTCCTGTTGATTATATATGTGAAGATTCCCAAGGGAAAACTACTTACAGGTTTCCCAGCTATAGAATTACTTGATCTTTACTATCCTATATAATAAAAAGGTAATATGCAAATCTACTGAACAGTGGAATAACCAGTTGCTATGATGCACACTGACCACCAGGGGGCAGGCGCTCAACGCAGGAGCTGCCCCCAGCCTGCAGGCCCCAACTGTCCTATCTGGGCCTGCTGGCCAACCTCAGTCCCTTCCCCTGGCTGGCAGGCTCCAATCGCCCGGGAGTAGGTGGCGGCGTGGGGGTGGGACCAGCAAGCTGGCAGGAATGGCCAACCTCTTGGTCCCTCCCCACGGCCAGCTGGCATTCTTTCCCTGGCCAGCTGGTATTCTTTCCGGCAGCCGAGACACAGGTTTGCCCACAGCTGCAGACAGTTGTTCCTCACTCCTCCCCACCTGTTCTCTGAAGGGGAGGGAGAAACCTTCAGCAAGGTAGCAGGTGTTGGTTAGGTGGGTTGTTGAGGAACCTGTCTCCTGATGCTGCTGAATTCTAACCCCAATTCTAATTCCATGTTCTCTGCTTAAAGCACCTGATCTTACCCTCCTCAGTGGTGATGCAACCTGAAAGCTAATGGGACCTTTTTGTGGGATAGGTTGTCATGCCCCAGGACCCTGCAAGTAGAATCCTCCAGCGAATAAATGTAGTGAACCTTCAGGTGTGACCAGAATGACCCTGATAGTGCCATGGCCCCCTGGAACTCTCTCAGGCATGGGGCCCACACCCCATACCTTACCATGTAAGAAATTCCACACAAAAGCACCTCCTGTGAATAGGTCTCCACTGGGGGGGATCACAGTCTCCTACACAGGCTCAAAGTTTATCCTGGGCCAGGCCCACGATGGATGCAAGATGGTGAATGTGGAACCGGAGGTGGGTGGTGGCGGGTGGTGGGCTGGCTGCCGGCAGCCAGGGAAGATGGCCTTGATTGCAGGCCAGGCCTAGGGACCGTACCTGCTCATGGATTTCATGCACCAGGCCTCTAGTGTATTATAAAATAACATTGTATTATATGTATGATTAAAGCCAGATGAGTGCCTTTCTATAAAGAAAACTGTTTTGCTTCTGAATTCTTTAGTACAAGATCCATGACTTTGTGAGTTTTAACTTATATAGCTTTTATTTTGATATACTTGTTATTAAACTTTCATTGGGCCGTTGGCATCTGCAAACATGTTGCTTGGTGCTTCTAAACTTTTTGGCTTTGAAAAAGCATTTTATATTACTGAAATATGTTTCTTTAATTTTTGGATTAAAAGTTGATAACCCACCTTCCATTTTTTATTATCTTTCTGAGATATAGTGTTCCATGTTTTGGATGCTACTGTAAATATAATGTATTAAAAATGCTGACTCTGTGATTCTTATCTAATTCATTCTTTAGTATTTATTTTTATTCTTAAAATACATTTTATTGATTTCAGAGAGGAAGGGAGAGGGAGAGAGAGCTAGAAACATCAATGATGAGAGAGATTCATTGATTGGTTGCCCCCTACGGGGTCGAGCCTGAAGCCAGGCATGTGCCCTGACCAGGAATCGAACTGTTACCTCCTGGTTCATAGGTCAATGCTCAACCACTGAGTCACACCAGCCAGGCTATTCTTTAGTATTTATTAAGTGCCTTCTTTGTCATGTAGTGAATTATCCTTGTTCTCCAGGAGATCCTCATCTAATGTGGAAGACAATGACATATAAAATATTGATAGAAAAAATCAGGATGTAATTTTTGCCATAACTATTAAGTGTATAGCCATCTGTGCTTGAGAAATAATAGTTTAGTTCTGCAAATATTTGAAAGTCTACTAGATGTGTTTGTAAGAAAACAGTGATGAATAAATCATAATGCTAGTCCCCATAATCTTCATAATTGAGTTGAAGGATGAAAGCTTGGGGGGTTGGGTGCTGTAGAAGGTGGGTGGGTACATCAGGTGAGCTAGGACAGGAGGGAAAGCCTTAAATACCAGACTCAGGCTTCTTGATTGTTTTCATTGGCTGAATGGAAATCCCTGACAGCTTTGGAGCAGGAGGACAGCAAGATTAGGGTGATGCTTTATAATGGTTGATTTTGTCCAGATATCCAGTGCATTTTAAGTTTATAAATATAGAGCAAATGATATCCAAACTGTTTTGATCATGCATTACATTAATAAAGAATATATTTTGAGCACAGCTTTGTGCCCATGAACTCTTTATTTATAAATAGAATTCAATTACATATATGTATATATGTGTATATATGTATATATACATATATACTTGTATATTAATATATCATGTGTATTATAAAGTACAATATAGATATTAATCAAGGATAATATGAACATAAATAGATCTTTCTTTGGTTTTCTCTGCTCTATTCCTGAGCTCCCTCAGATGTGCATACATGCTACTTTGGAGACCAATGGTTATAGAGGCAGAGAAATCTTTAAAAGAATCTAGAGATTCTGATGAGAAGCGTATAACTTAAAATGTAGCAGAAGAATTACAAAGGATATATGGAACTAAAAAAGCACTGAGAAAGGAAAGGAATAAGTCAAATATATAATTGATATTGCAGCCTTAGGAGATAGAATAAAGAAAGAAGTTAGAAAAAGAGTTCTGGGATATTGACTTAGAACTGCTTCTCTCCCTCTCTCTCCTCCTTCTTTCCTTTCGCCCAGCTTTATTTAGGTATAATGACAAAATTGTAACATATTTTAAGTGTACAGTATGATTATTCAATATCCATATATGTTGTAAAAGTATCCCCTGCCATGCTGAATTAATTAATAATCTATCACCTCACATATTTTTCTCTCTCTTTTTCTTTTTGGTCAGAACATTTAAGTTCAACCTTTTTAACAAATTTCAGAGATTTAGAGTTTTTATTTGATTTAGGATATTTTTTTCCATTGATTTTTAGAGAGAGTTGGAAGGGAGGGGGAAAGACAGAGAGAGAGAGGGAAACATTGATGTGAGAGAGACACACTGGTTGCTTCCCGCCCCAACTGGGGCTTGACCAGAATCAAACCCTTGATCCTTCAGTCCACGGGCTGATGCTCTAAACACTGAGCAAAACCGGCTAGGGCAAGATTTAGAGTTTTTATTTGAATTCTCATGTGCTCGTAGAAGCTGAGCTGTGAGAGTAAATGTGGTTCCTAAGAATCTATAAAAAGCAGAACAAAGGTATAAAGGATAAAGCTGCAGAGGGGCAGGTGTGAAGGGTGAAGCTCCAGGTATATGGAGGCAAAGGGAGCTTGAATATTTACTCGCTGTTTTACACCAGTCAACAGTTTAGCTGCTTTGTCTGTTTTATCTCATTAAGTGCTTATATCACTCTTAAAAGGCAGTGGTTATTTTTCTAGTTCCACAGATGAAGTCATTTAACATCAAATGAGTAACTTGCTCAAGGTCAGGCATCAGGGCCAGGATTTGAAAGGCAGGCTTGCAGGCTGGCTCTAAGATAATTCGCCAGCTCTGCGGTGTAGGGAGCCTGAGAAGAGAAAGAACGGTGGGAGTAGAATCAAAATAATGTAATTTCATAGAAGGGGAAAGTGAAGGAGGGTGTTTTTAGAAAATATGGAGAAGTCAACCTTGTCTGATACATTGTGTAGTGGAGAAGTTTTGAGTCTAGTTTTAGGCCAGAGTTTCTCCCCCTCACCCAGGAGACACTGACAATGTTTGGAGACATTTGATCTCACTAATGAGAGCTTTTTTGTTTGTTTGTTTGTTTGTTTTGCTAATGGTATGTAATGGCTACAGGCCAGGAGTGCTGCTATACATCCTACAGTATAGGACAGCTCTCTTAGCAAAGAATTATTTTGGCCAACATCAAGAAACCCTGTTTAGACTAAATTCCTCACTCATTTCATTTAGCTTTGTGATTTTCAGGCAAGTCATTTGACCTTTCTGAGTTTTTGTCACTATGTTTGTAAACATGCATAATGATACTTGTTAATTACTTCACAGAGTCTTTAGCAATGTGTGAGATACTAGGTGTGAAACCAATTGTAACATCAACTGAAAATCACATTAAAATGTCTATTTATGGGGAATGAGGATTTCTAGAAACACTGAATTTGGTTTGATGATTGGGTCATTATTAGATGTAGAGATGAGTTAGTTTGTAGTTGAGAGATGGATTTGCAAAATGGAGTAAAGATTAAAGATGCAAGTGAGGGAAGTGCCAGTTTCTGGGGGTGTTGTCTTTGAAGAGGCAGCTCAGTAAGGAGAACTCAGCCAAGGGAAGAAGAATGCATTTTTTTCTGAGACCAGAAAGATGGAAGGGCAAACAAGTGGCGGTAAAGGTAACATTTTAGAGGTTTTGTTTGACAAGGGGGTGAGGCAGAGGATGCTGTGGAACACTGCCTGGGAAGACCTCAGCATTCTTAGTAACTTTGAAGGTAAGACCATCTGCTCAGATTAAGGAAGGAAAATGGGGCGAATTTAATTTTTTGGAATGGAGAAGGTTTGGAGTGTCCACTGTGGGAATCTTGATTGAGGATTAGCAGCAAATGAATACATGGATTGCTGAAGAGCCGTAAGAGCTCACTGGGGTTGTTCGGCATGGATTTATAAGGGACTCAGTTAGTATTATGTCATCACAGCGGTAGGCAGCTATGGGGGTTAAGAGGAAGGAGGTAAGGTGATCGTGGTTAGCACTGCGGAACTCTGAGTTTGAAGGATCAGCCATACGGATTGCCACTTACATTCAAGGTTTGGTCATCATGGTCAAAGAGACATTTAGATGCTCATGCTTGTCAGTATGTTGGAGGGTTTCAGCTTTAGGATGTCAGTTGAACATGGATATTGTAGTCTCCTCAATCATCACCCAGAAATATGATGGAGAGAAATACTGGGTAGATTGCTGATGTTCTGGTGGATGGAGATCCTAGATATTAATAAATGCAGTAAGTGGGTGGGGAGAACTTTTAGTAGAGGCAGAATGATGAGACAGCACTAAGGAGCAAACAGGGAAAAAACAAAACACTTTTCTTCTGGTGAGTGAAAGGGAGTAGAAATGGACCTAGTTCCTCCGGAAAGTTCTGTGGAGGAGGTTGTGTCAGAGGAAAGGTGGGTCCAGGTAATGTGAACTTTTGGAAGAGAGATTTTTTTGAAAGATTTAAAGCATAAGATAGTTAAATGACTCTTTCAAAAGGGCTCCATGGAATAGCAGAGGAGCCTAGAAGGACAAACAGTAGGGAATGGCAAAGGTCAAGTAGCTAAGATTGGATTAAGAATATTTGTAAAGGTGGCTCGTGGGAGGATTGTGGGCACCGCATGGCAGATGAGGGCATTGAAGGGGGTTTGGAGGCATCTGCGAATGCCAGGGAGGCCATTGATGACAGCACAGTCTGACCCCAATTGCCCAACTGGCATGTCTGTGTGGTAGAGCCACTAAACTGCCCTGATCCCTGACGGCACCCCTTCAACATCTGCTGGTGGAAGGTAAGTGGGTTAATAAGGCATAGGCTTTAGTGTATTGAATTTCAGTTATTTAGATATACATATATATGCATATACATATAGTTATATATGTGCATGTGTGTACATATATGCATGTGTGTGTGTGTGTGTGTGTGTGTGTGTGTGTGTATCGCTAGTCCAGCCCTACCCCACCCTCAATGCTTCCTCAAACAGATAAAAACCAGACTTCGGAAGCCCTGGCCAGTGTGGCTCAGTTGGTGGAGCATCGCCCCATGCACAAAAAGGTCACCAATTTGATTCCCAGTCAGGGAAAATGCCCAGGATGTGGGTTCCATCCCCAGTTGGGGTGCATACAGGAGACAAACGATTGACATTTCTCTCCCACAACAATGTTTCTCTCCCTCTCTCTCTAAAATCAATAAAAATATATTTTAAAAAATCAATCTTAGGAGGAAATTCTATTTGCCTAAAAATAGCAGCTAGAAAAATATTTCATTGAAATATTTTTTATTCAGTTTGAGTCATTTGAAATTAGTATGACCATATTATAGAGCAGAAAAATATTGTTTATCATACTAAAAACAAAGGATAAAATATCCCTAATAATAGCTTTGGTTTGCTTTAGCAAATCCTCTGCCCGGGTAGCCTGTAACCACATTGATCATGTTACAATTCAGACATATCATTAAGGTAGAAATATTGGATACTTTGGTTATAAACCTGAGATTAATTTATCTGTAACTTTTATAATATTGCAAGTTTGAAAATAAAAGTTGTATTCACCAAAAATTGATTATTTCAATCCCATTTTCTTTTCTGCTGTGTTGGTACATAGCATCTGAATAACTACTTAAAGAACATGAATAACAAATGCCCTTTTGAAGCAAAACCACTAGCTTCACTGAGAATAATTAGGCCTAAATTTTCACATGACTGTGGTTGGTTGGTACAGCCATCGACATAGAGGCAACTATTGTTCCCATATTCTCATGTACAAATTGGGCAATTGAGTTTGCAAATTGCAGATTGAAGAGTAGGCATGAACTGACATCGTCTGTGTAGCTGTGCACGCTCCTCCATGTTTACCTGTGTACTTCCAGTGTTTGTTTTAATGTCCAAGGCAAGTATGTGCAATTGGCCAGTCTGTGTTACATATTTAAATCTTAAGATCCCAGGATTTTAAGTGAATATTCATCTGAAATACCTAGCAGTGAGTCTTATCTACCATTTTTTTTCTACAATTGGGAAAGTCAAGGAGCACAAATAATACATTTGGAGGTTAAGTCTATGCTGCTTAAATATGTGGTTCTCTAAATTGGTCAAATAAGATAATAATATTGACTCCTACAGTATATTAGCAGAGTAGCTCAGTCATAATTCAGTTTAGATCCAGTCTATGCAAATATTAGACTTTGTGTCTTTTAGAAAGATCAGAGCTAGAAAAGCTTTCATAATATTTGAATAGCAGTGCTTTCCTAAAATCATTTGATGATATATAATGATATTTGTTTAACATAAGATAACTTAGTCTCATTAATAATTTATGGTGTTTTAAAAGACTGTTTTTATGTATTTCCAAAATTTATTTTCTTTTTTATAAATTTGTATCAACTTAATTACAAGGTCTACTTATGCTTTAATGAGGATCTTTAATTTTATATTATTCTTTCAAAACATTTGTTTTGTTCAAGATGCACCAAAATTTTATAACTTTATTTTTGGTAATGACTTAAACTTTCTTTGAATAAGAGAATGTATACCTAACAAATAGTATCTATTTCATTGATATAGCATTCTCCTGGAAAAGTGAGATTAAAATTACTGAAGGAGAAGCTTCAAGGTAAACAGTTTACCATTGTATTATTAGTTGCTACAGATACAATTTCTTTTACATTTGAATTACATAGAAAATTAAAGTGCTAGAGTTGTTAATGCAATATAAAGATTCCAAACCCTCAAATGATGACTCTCTATCTTTGATACTCAAAATACATTTTACATATGCTTGTTTGTAGTGGAGGGGGGATTAGTTTATTTACAAAGAATATCAACTTAGAATATGATTATAATATAGCATTTTTCATAGTGAGGACTTTCATAGCACTGGTCCTTAAAGTTTATTAATGTAATCTTTTAACTAGGATAATTATAAATTTTAAATTATAAATTAAAATTTACTCTAGGAAATTAAGGCAATATTGAAAAATGTATTTATATTTTAATATATTTTGACAACAAAAACCTAAATTAATATTGAATACATAATTCCAAATAAAATAAGACTTTTTAATAGAGGACAAACACATTTGATTTGAATGGCTAAGATGATTTGGCAGAACAAGTTCTAGAAATGTATAACATTTAGTATAGAAGTTCTGTGTGGGCTTCAGTTTGATCTGGAGCTGTGGCAGAATGCCACAGGTATTCTATCAAGAGCATAGTTTTTTAGTGTGTGTTTTTAAAATATATATATTTTTATTGATTTCAGAGAGGAAAGGAGAGGGAGAGAGAGAGAAATAATCAATGATGAGAGAAAATCACTGATTGGCTGCCTCCTGCACGCCCCACACTGGGATCAAGCCTGCAACCCAGGCGTGTGCCCTGACCTGGAATTGAACCGTGTCTTCCTGGTTCATAGGTCTACGCTCAACCACTGAGCCACACCGGTCGGGCAAGAACATAGTTTTTAACACTCACTACGTTCTATAATTGTACATGCCCAGTTTAAGTGAATTTTAAGCAGAGTGGATATGGGTGAATATGTGTGGCCTATGGTCACAGGAAGGGGACTGTGGGCTCCTCAGCCTACTGGGAGGATTAGGCTTGGCTACATGCCATGCTTACTGGCCAACTAGTATTTAAACAGTATTTGATAATTTAGAAATATGCATAGTTTCATTAATTACTTGATCATTGGGAAATCTAAACATCATATTGGAAAGTGATTAATCTGACTTTTTTTTTCTTCCAGAGCCAGTGAGACAAGCTCTTAATTATCAAATAGCAAATTTTTCTGAAAGAGAGAAGCCCAAGATAAGAGGGAAGGTTTGTGGGCAGTGTGAGAACAAAGCCGCTCTGCTGGTACGTACACTCTACTGAGACACGGGAATAGAACTTACACGTGGTCTCAGATACTTGCCCTGCTGTGGTAGCGACATGCTTTCCCTCTGTGACTCTTACTGTGAAGTGTGCACGCTGTGCACCTTAGGATGTGTGTGCCTGCTGCTGGGGAAGGCACACACGGCACTGAGACGACGCCTCTCACTCCCGGGTGAGGCACTACTTGAACTTGCCCTCTCTGCCTTGGTTCAGCGCACGAATGCGGACACACACACACACACACACACACACACACACACTCACTCACTCTCTCACACACACACACACACTACAGTATCTCCCACCTACAACCCAAACCAAACTGCAGCAGACATCCTCCTTTGACCCCCTCATTTCCCTCTGTGCCCCTTCTGGTAACACTTGAAGGGTTTGTTAACTTGCTGTCATCATATTCTCTCCTCTCGTTCTCTCTCTCTCTCTTCCTCTCTTAATTGAGGTATATTTTACTTACTGTGAAGTGGAAAGATCTTAAATGTGTACCTAGACGCCTTCCTATAAATGCCTGCGATCCCAGCAAGATAACAGAATACCCTCGCAGGTTTCCTTGGCCTTTTCCAGTTCATCCCCACCGCAAAGGCAACCGCTC